AAAGACAACACAGAGAAAATTTTTCCAACCTGACTTTTTGTAGTCAGATTGTCTGCACTTTTATGGTCTGAAAGTATGATGTGTGTCTGCTTTCTATGTTACTTTAAGTATAGTTGCTTAGGCGGGGTTCACTGCATTTAGTGGCTAGGCCTGCATTCTCTGCCCCACCACGCACTCAGCTCTTTTGCCTTCTTCATTTGAAAACTGAGACTGGCTCCTGGCTTTCCTCCGATCCTGTAAGTTATTTTCTCTACTCATATACTATCTACGCTATGGGCACAGAATTATGATACTGTTCATGTTATTGGGAAAGTGATTCCTTCAGGAGAAGCAGAGGCTAAAAATAAAGTGAGCTGCAAACTGGACATGAATATTCATAGTAATTTCAAATGAACATGATGACATAATCAGAGGTTCAATCTGTTCCATCATGAAAATCCATGTTTCTGTTTTTTTCTTCTGAACATGAATGAACTTTTGTTTTCAAGCCCTGCTTCCTCATGAGAATAATAGATGTACAAGGTGTTTTCTTTCTGTCTGGTTCTCTGAAACCCCCAAAGTCTTTTTGGAGTTGTTTAGTTGTTTTCCCTGTTTATGAATCCATTGTAGACACCTTTGATAAGAAAGCTGACGTGTTAGAAAATGAGTTTTAACATGTGCTTGTTGTGGAAAAATTTGAGTAATTTCTGATTTTCACACAAGCATATCATGTCTCCTGAATATTTTCATTAAAGCAAATTATTATTCAGTGGCAGGCGGCTGTGCAGCGAAACAGTAATCCATCTGGTCACACTAAGTCATGTTAGGCCCTTTACAGTCATCTACAGTGAGTTATGGTGCAGCCTGCTCATTGTTTCCTAATCCCTCACTGCCATTTTAGTTGTGTAGGTGTGGTTATTAACAGATGAGCGTTAGAAATGAAATGATCATGCAGATTTCCTCATAAGGCAGTGAAGCTTTTATGTTGTCTCCTCACCCAAATTTTAGTCTTCATTTTGGAATTGCTGCAGTGTCTTATTTGTCCAGAGATTCCTGCTTTTCAAGAATGTCCTTGGCAATAATAAGACAACCTTTATTTTGATTTCTGTGGTGCAAAAGTCCCCGCATGAACATCAAAGTTAACTTGGAGATTTGTTGCTAATGTTGTTGTATTGCTTAAAAAAATCAGAATTTGGTTCTGCCGTTGCTGTGAGAGTGGCTCATGTTTTATTCCATCTTATCATATGGAGTTACATTATTGACAGAAAGGTTATCTCCTAAATGGCATGAGTCTTTTTTATTTCTACAAATGAGGACATTTGGGCTGGACTGAGCACTCACGACTGGGTGTACTTCAACTCTTAGTCAGCCCAGGACATTTTGGCTCATTTAGTGTGTGCCTTTCCTCGAGAAAAGCAGTTACTGTGTAATATGCAAAACAGAAAGTAAGAGTTCATTACTGGTGAATCGAAGATGATGTTCACTGCTAGATTTATCTTGAGAGGTGGCAGCCCAGACTGTTATAATTTACTGGCTGTGTTGAGAATTTATTTTAGGGACTGGGAGGGCATTAGATTTAAGCTTGATATTCTGGGCATGGACAGACCATGGATAGTTGTAGGTTGTGCTTTCTGCTGTGGTTTTCATCACATACCCATCTGCTTCTGTGGTTTGGATTTTTTCACTAGTCCACATCTTAAGCATAAGCATGCACACTATTTCCAAGTATTATCAAAAATACAAGGAATTTGACTCCAGCCTGGCTCCTACTTTATGCTTCAGCTCAGCACCAAAAAAGTCTTTAAGATTCATCTTTTGTGACTCACTATTGTCTGTATCAAATTTTGTGGCAGTTCATTTAGTAGCTGTTGAGACATTTGAGGGGATCACCAGAGATACTAGGATTCACCCACTGTAGATCTCTACCAAATTACATGGCAGCCCAACTGATCAGTTGATCAGTCTGGACTGACGAGGGACAAATCAAATGCAGTGCCCTGAGATGATTGTTGTTGTATACAAATGAATTGAATTGAATATTAGCCATGCATTGTTGTGTTTTTTTAAGTACAGTAATTGTATTCAAATAAAATCTAATAAAAATAGCACTATATGCATATAGTACATCCTCAGTGCCACATAGTCATTACCACCACACATACACAAACAAGCTCTGACAAGCGTCGGAGCAGGTCCTCTATGGTCTCTGGCATGTCTTGTCATTTAGAGAAGTCCCTATCAGTGTGGACTGGTACGCACTAGCTGCATGAAGGTGTTTTGGGTATTTGTACCAGCTAAGTCTAACCTTTATATGAAGCTTCAAAAGATGAAGCCCTGCGTGACGTGAAGACACGTCAGCCACCAGTTCACTCACTTTTCCATGTGTGTTCTATCAGTTTTCTTAAATGTATTCTCTTTTCTTTAAGAGATGCTTTGTTAATGAGCAGTGAAATGAGGTCTTTGCTATGCTCATGAGTTCATGTTATGCTACAAAAGTCACAGAGACAGCTGGAAACATTGCTGACTGTGCCTGCATAAACCAGTCCTTGAGTTTTGTGGTTTTGTAACTCACCGCTACCCTGGGGAGCACATTTTCATAGCAATAAATGCCAAAGCTAATCGCTGTGGTGACACCTTACTGTGCTGAGAACAAGTTTGTCAGTGTAGTGTGACAGGCGCAGCTTCTGGATACCAGTAGCTGTGTTTGCATGGGGGTGAATGTACCCTGGTGGCTTTTTGCCAGCAGCAGCTGAGCCCCTTCCAGCAGCAACAAGGCCTTTTAACCCCCGGCTTTGTTGGGGAACCTCTTTTGTCTCAGGCTGCCACCCTTCTTACATCGTCAGGGACTTTCACTCGACCTTGCTCATCTTGGCTCTACTTTGGAGGCTCTTGGCAGGTACAGAGGGTTGGAGTGAAAGCGTAAGATCAAACATTAAGCTAGAATAAGGACAAGAAATGGCTCACTGGGGAAACACATTGCCTTTATTTAATCTGAATGCTACATATGAGGCAAAGTCAATCGTTTCTCTGTTCATGGCAGCTTGATGCTTGTGCTGTGTCTGGACCACTTAGCTGGAATGCTTGGCTGGGTGACAACATCTTGTATTATAGCAAATCACTTGATAATGGCTATTTTAGCTGTACATTGAGTGCATGCCAGATGTATACAGCTTTGAAGTACTCAGCAGGTTCTAAATATATATGGAAACGTCATGAATGCATTTTGTACAGGCTGTTGTGGTCTGGCAGTCAGCAATGGAAAAATTATTAGTTCATTGGCAACTTAAGTCTGTCCTCAGCAGAACGACAGCAGCAGTTGTCTAGTGCATTTACTTGGTCATACGATTTTGATAAACAAAACATCTGGAGAACACAGTTCAGTCAGTTAAGGTTTCTTCAACATAACTCCATCATATATTACTGTTGAAACATGCAGCCAACTGAACGGGCACCAAGCAAAAACCTTTTCTGAACTTCCAGCACTGAAAAGCGCTCCTGTCCGACAACATGACCACCCACCTTGGTGCTGTTGGCCGGTTGCAGCCCGACCGCTTAGAGCAATGTGTTTGAATGACAGATGAGAGGCGGTGCAAAGCCAAACAGGAGAACCAATCAAAAGCAACCTTCAAAATTGAACACATGCTACCAAATGAGTGGAGCCTATGTGCACAGAGACAGCACCTTGTAAGCCACACTACTCTTGATGGTGATATTTGTCCCAGCAGCTTTGCTGCCCCATGCTGTCTGCAAATATGTCAAAAGAAGGCGCTCTGCAAGGCGACAAGATGGGAAGAAACAGAATGAATGGGATATTTACATATAAGCTTTTTACCAAAAGAACATATCCAGATGTATCCTCTTTGTAATCACCAATATTTTGATTAGTTACTGTAATTTAATTGTTTCTTTCTCAGTAAGTGAGAAAAAACTGATTCCAATTATATTTATTTTGTAATTTAATTACAGTTACTAGTTAGTCCCCAACACTGGTTTTAACGACACAGACTTAACCAGAACCCAAAAACACATATATGACACACATATTAAAACATATGAATCTTTTTTTGTAGCAGTCACATTCATTTTGGATGGCAGTGTTTCAAGACTTGTTTGGTCATTTTTTTAGGTTCACACTGGTGTTGTATTGGGTTGCATTATATTTAGAGGAGTTTCTAATGCATTGCCTGCTCCCATTTAGATTCATGAGTAGATCAGAATATTAGCACACTTCAAACTATAAAACCACTTTAACATTTCCATTGTATTAGATTGCTTTTGAATCTATAGCCAATAAAAGAGCAACGCGGTGTACCCTTCAGAAACCTGTAGCCTAATGTTATGGAACAGCTCATCCACTTGAGGAGTTTCACATCAAGAGCTTTTTCTGAACATCTCTATATCAGCAGTTGAGAAATCCAACCTGCTGTTAATGTCTCAGATGAAAATTCCTGTTCATCTGTTACCTTGGTTATCTATGTTTCATTTGATTAGAGTTGATGGCGGCATCACTTACCTCCTCTTAACAGATAAATGGGCTCTGTCTCAAACTTATCAGGTCTCTCAGGGCTGCGGCATTCAGCCAAGCATAAAGGACAGCAGGTCAGTGTGCTGACAAAAGAGGAACAGTGTCACCATCTAGTATCAACCACTGACAGATTTATGAGTAAGTGGCATTGAGGGTTCATGTTGTGGGTATTGGTGATGGACTGTGTGAGTATGGTGGTACTACAAGCACACTTGTATGTATCGCTGTCACTCTTCGTAAGTAATGTTTCAACAAGTCCAGAAAAAATTAGTGAATAACTGGCTAGTTGAATTATCGCCAATGTAATTATCATTTATCAGCCAAAAGAGCCAAACATTCACTCACTGCACCTTCTCAAATGTAAGGATTCTTTGTTTTATATACTTGCAAGTTGAATATTTTTTGAGTTTTGCATTGTTACTACGAAAAATGAGCTCATTTTAAATAAAAATAAGTTACAGCCATAAATATAACTTTGCCTTTCTTCTCTTGGCAGGTATATCTCATCAATGTCACCTATTCTGACAACACCTCCCACATCATCTACAGAAGATACAGCAAATTTTTTGACCTACAGGTAATTGTCCCTTGCTCCTGCACTCCCCTGCATGCTACATGCAGGGAGTCTTAGTATTGAAATCCCTAATTCCATTGCCATTGATGTAGTTTGAACATGTCAGCCCTGTGAATTTAGACCATTATTTTATAAAATGATTGTATAAGCAGTGCAACTGTTCACTGCCACTGTATCTCTGCCTGTCTTTGCCATACCTTGTCGCCTCAGTGAATCAATGTGTGTGTTAGTAATTGGTTGGGGAGCAGGGGAGACATGGCTTCTATCCATTAGCCTAGAAGAGAAGCAACAATGCACCTCATCTCTCTCGCTGTGCATCTCCACCCCTCCTTCTTTATTCCCCTCTTCTTCCTCTCACTCGTCTCATCTCTGCTTTGCCCTCAAAGCGTCAGGGAGCTGACAGGCTTTTTTTTATAGTGCAAGCAAGAAATCCACATGGAAGTCAATTGATTGAACCATGCTGATACATTCTCTAGTGTAGGCTGCTGGGATTGGTGTTTTTTTTTTAATATATAATCTTGTATGAAGAGATATTTTTCTCACTTGGCTCAAATGCTTTACTCTCATGTTGAAAGTATTGAAAGTTTTCTCTTCAGGACTTATTTATTTTGGAACAGAGAAGGAGTTGCAGTGAAAACCCCTCCCTGTGGCTCTTAGATTGACTATTCCATACTAAGAGAATGTCTGTGTGGATGCAGTTATGCCCCTTGCAACCTTGGCCTGCTGCAAGCTGATACCGTATGTATATTGCACCAGAGGTCTCCGGGTCACTAGTAAATATGAAAGCGCTGTACTGAGAGGCTTACAGAAGGGCACTTCTCAATAGCCCCAGTGTGCTAGTCCAGCTGAAAATGATGTTTCAATCAGTGGAGAAAATGTCCTTTCTGAAAGGTCCCATTGATAACCACTGGGCAGTGAGAGGTGGAAAAGGTACCCACTGCAACTGATTACTCCCAATGTGGAATAAAAGACAGAGGTAGAATAATAAACATGTAAAAGCAGGTCGAAGTGTGCCTGAATGTTCTTCTATCCTGGAAAAGTTAGAGACATAGGTGAGCGGAGTGGATGGGTGTCTTCCTCTTGATTTCAGCTGCTCACATACGCAAGCGTGGTCCTCAAATTACCTGGGAGGAAGTTATTGAAATGTAATGGCTCATGGATGGCTCGGCACAAAATCATGCCCAGTCAGCAGTGGTAAGATTGAGTTTGTTAGCTTTGTCAGATGGCGCAGGGCACAGGTCACCTGATTGCTCTGTGCTTTATTGAGTTGTCAAAGAAAGCAACTCTCACATGACCAAAGTTTGGCAGAGTTCAGCCAGGCTGCTGTTAAATAAGTTCTATTGTGAAAATCCCTTGCTGTGTATTTCTTGGCTTTACCAAATGTCCCTTTTACAGTACACTGCAACGCTGTGTTTCCATACCAGCGCTTCACTGTTCACTTACTTTGCCTGGTTCCTTCATGTGTCCATTTGCATTGACACTCATATATAAAACTATCACTGACAATACTAACCGGCCGCTTTCTAATACTCAGTAATCGTCTATATCTGTTGGTATATGGAGAGAAATTAAAGTTTTCTCTGCCAGACTTTGATCTTGTTAGATGCCTTTGATGGTCCTGTTTGAACCCATTGTTTTCAGAGCAACCTGGAGCCTCTCCTGTCCAAACATTTATCTGCTGCAAAGACCCTGCTGCTCTTAGCGGCCCTACTAACCCTAGGGGAGAGAAACATGGATGACTGCTCTGAAGCTGTTGGAGAGCACTTCAGCCAAAGCTTTGGCCAAGACTGCTAGGGATTCCAAGATTGTTTCTTAGTAATAACCAGAACAAGCTGTCTTCCTGGAAGCGTACTGGCCCTGGTTTGGGGCTGGTGTCAATAAGAGATGTGCCACAGATGTTTCTTTGTCCTGAAAACAAACTTTAAATTTTGTGTAGATTGCATGGACGGTAAAGCTTGCTGGCTTAGCTGTTAGTCACAGGACGAGTCAGTCATTGGATGTACTGCATGTAAGCACTGAACATTTGCCACCTACTTGTCTGTACAGTATCATTCTTAAAAAGCTTTGCACATGCTTCCCTTGTGCCAGCATCTCTTGGGAAATTATGAATTTCAATGGATCCAGTCACATCCTTCACTTTCTACCTTTGCCAATGGGAAGCTAGCAGCCCAGAGAATGTGTAAATGTAATAATGATAGGAACCATAGTAGTGCTATTTAGTGGCATTTTATGAAAAGAAGTCATTTACGGCTGACAATATGAATATATTAATGAGAAATGTTGCCAGAATTGCTCTCCAGGGAGCCATTTCTCTGCACTTTTATTCTGTTAAGAGTGGGTTGGATCTCACACTGTCCACTTCTTTTGGGAGAAAGTAGCATCATTCTCTCAGCCATCCATTGTGGTTGCCCTTCCATTAGTTCTTTATTTGATGGTTGTTTGAAAGGATAAAGCTGCACTTCTGGAAAAGAGGTTTAACTTTTTCAACAGCTTTACCTGAACATTTGACAAATCCTGTTTACAGGCAGGGAACAAAGAAGACAAAAGCACATCAAGACAGACAGAGGCTTGTCTTCCCAATGCATTTTCTATGCTGCATCTCCACAGTCATACATATTTTGTGCTCCCTCCCCGTTTGTCCAGTCTTTGTCAGGATGTGACTGGCTCCTCCTGGGTGATGTACAGTGGTGTGGTTTTGTCTTAGTAAGATCTGACTAGTGAGTCAAACAGTATGTCCTTCTGTCAGCAGCCACCCGCCCAAGTTATTCATCAGAAGGGAGGAGGTGGGTGTGACAGGGAGAGGAACAGGTTAGTCTGAGGGCCACAGAGGAAATGAGCAGTGAGGAGTTAGAGCAGGATGATGATGATGATGATAGCGGTGGTGATAATGAGTCAAAGGATGGCGGTGGTAAAAGACATGAAAGCGATTGAGAATGACAGCAATGCTAGTGGCATTGATGATTAAGATTTAGATAATGATGCTGTAGATGGCAAAGATGAAAGGTATTTTGATATTGTGGGTTTCTTCTGGGTCTCATATTAGAACGAGGCCTTCATAAGCATGTTTCAAAAACCCCTGAGGAGTGGGTGATTGTGCCCATGCTGTCCTCACTGGTCTCAGGCAAAGTACTGTATATATGAATCTGCAGCGTGGCTCACCATCGGAAAGGACACACTGCTCACCCTTTTTTAAGAGGGTCTTTGGTTTGTATTCTGTCCACACACACACACACACACACACACACACACAAACCCTGTCATTTCTTTTTCCAGTTCTGCCCTTGTGTGAGCATCTCTGCTTAATTTAGGGAGGTTTTAATGTTACATCTCTCCAACATCTGTTTTTCAACATTTAGTGTACCTTTGAAGAACCAACACATAATATTAGTGTGGGTTTCTCAGAGACTGAGTCTCAAGGTCAATTTCAGTCTTTTAGGAAATAGCTTTACTGATCCAGGCTTTCAAACAACAACTCCTTGGATTAATTGTAGAAAATTATATAGTAGCTGTGGTCAAAGCACTTAAAAGGAAGGTCACTGAATTGGGAATCTCTATGTGGGTCATTTGATGGGAACATATGTCTAGACCACAAGACATTATTGGTATGCCATCCTCGAGGATAAATTGCTGAATAGCCAGGCCCCTAGCTCAGCTTCTTTGTCCTTGAGGTGTTCTGTTGACTGTAATTCAACTGAATGAGGCAGCCCATTGTTTCAGGTGGAGGATAAAAGGCTGTTTTATTTTATTTATGGGTGTGTGGGTGAGAAAGAAAGGAGGCAGAAACATAGGTTTTAGCCCCTGCTGAGGGGCAGATGAAGGACACCTACACACCAAACACAAGACCCGTTCATGTGAGTTACAATCGGACACTTGACAGGATGGCCCAAGCCGGGTCCTTGCTTTTCTGGGAGCATAGAGGAGGCAAAGTATGCAGTTCTCACAGCCATGCTGAAGGAATCAGGGGAATGGGCTAAACTTAGGATGAATGAGACAGTTCAGTCATTTATGGCACATTGCCATGGCTGAGAAAACTCCAAAGTGACTGGAAGGTGACTGGGGTACAACTGAGGAAAGACAGTAAAAGATTAATACAAGACTATATGCACAAGAAAATAGATAGAATTTAAATTTCATGGGAAGATGTGATTAGAAAACCTGAAAAGGCATGTTTTAAAGAAATGCTGATTTTTTTATTTTTATTTAAGCAATATTAAAAACTATGTGCTGAATATGTTGCTGCAGGCGACTTAATCTAAAAGCAAAATAAAGTTGCTTGAACAACGAAATTGGCTGCCAAAGTAAGCAGAATCAACTAGAAAACACTTGGCTTGGAGAGCATATACCTATGCCGAGGCTGCACAGTTTGTTAATTTCATATTAGAAAATGTTTTAATTCTGCATCTGATCTCTATAAGTAGACATGAGACATGTGGGATACATGTACTGTATTAGGAGCAGTTAAACAGAAAATAAGAAAAATATAGTTTCATGATTTTGTGACCCTAAACATAACCTGTTTGTTTGGGTGTCTTGACATGAGCCTACCTACACACAGGCAGTGTAGATAGCTGGAATGATTCAAACAGGAGTGGGACATGCGTGCCTCAAAAACGTAGACATGGCGTTACAGCTCTAACCCAGAGAGAGTCACCCAGCGCTGCAGTTCCCCTCAGCTCTGTGGAACCTTGGAGCATCTTTTAGATCATTCTTTTGGTTTTTCAGCCTGAAAACTCCACTTTCATTTCCCTTGTTTTCAGCAGCATGTAGTTGGTTAAAGCAAGAAACCTCTGAAGTGACTCTATGCCACAAACAGTATAGGTGTAGCAAGGTGTGACATCACTCAGTACTTTGCATTGAAGCTGGTTTGAAGCTTGGGTCTCGCTGCCATATTGCCTTTGCCCCCCTACCTCAGACTGAGCGCTAACTTACTGAAAGCACCTACCACACCTCGCCCTGCTACCTACAGAACTAAAAAATGTTGTAACCCTGCAACTACCAAGTGA